CCCCCCAGTATGACAAATATTTCTTTTGGGCAAAGACAGCATAGTAGTTGCACTTAATGGCCCAGCAGTCATTACTCTTCTGTGAAAAGAGAGCACAGAAGTATACCTCATTTGAATTCTGCATTACATCCACATAATCAGGCTAAATTTTTAAGTCTGACTGGATTTAATAGTATGAAATGATGACCTGTCAACATTTTCAAAAGGCCTCAAGGGACCTGTTTAAAATAAACTTTACAATCCAATCTTTTCACATGATTTGAACACAATTTGTAGACTATTCAAGTGATCCATTTTTTAAAGACAAGCAGAGCCTGTAGATGAGTAGTAAGACCAATGTGACTGATCTGTTGTGAAGAACATGCTGTTGAAAATCTTGTATATTGTCCAGCTGTCCAGTATCAATAATGGTGTAATGTCTGATGTATTAATAAGCTTTCAGTACGATCTGAGCTTGATATTCCTGTCTGTCTTCCACCTCTTTTTCGTTGTCTGCTATGGGCTTTCTATGTGACCAATGACAAAATCTTAGCTCTGTCTTAAGTCCTATTTTATAGCTGGGGATAATAGTATTTCTCTTCCTCACAACTGTGTGGTGAAGCTATAAAAAAGAAAGGACGGAGCTCAGGATCTGTGGTAATATGGAATTTATTATTCATCTTATCCATACATTGAATGTGGTTTGATACATACTTAAGTAACTGACTAGGTCTAGTTCAGTAAGTATCTAAAAAATAAAATCTAAATCAATATAATTGTTACTAGAAAAAGAAAAAAGTAAGCAAGGTGGAGTCTGCAGGAAGGACCTGCAGCTATTTCCTTTCTACAGATTTGAGGCTTGCAAAAGCAAACATCAGGCATATGAGAGTCAAATTAGACCTTTGGATATTATGAACACAAATGTTGAGGCCTCGATCTTTTGATCAAATCTGTTGAGAGAGATTCTTTGGCTTAAGAGGAGCTTCAGCACAAATTTGACACCTGAATGTGAATTCTTTCATAGGAGTCTTAGAAAGCATTTATTATGTGAATAGCCATACGCATTATTGTAATAGGTCACACTGCAGCATCTCATTGTCTTCATAGAGGCTTGGCACAGAAGGCATAGAATAAGTGTCCTCTTAGTGTTAGGCCTGTCTTTAATCAAAATTATATGAACAGACTAATTCTATTACTCCTACTTGGAGTTATGTCTATTACATTATTAATGCTTATATATAAAAAGGTAATAAGTTCAACTAGCTATGGATTAAACTGCAAAAAGGAAGAAAAAAGTTAAATGAACTTAGAGGATCTGCTATAAACCATACAAGGAATTTCTGTGAAGCTGAAAGCTAAGAATCTTGGCATGAACTCTGGTTTCAGTGCATGTTTATGCATGGCAGGCTGCCAGACCACGTTCTGAGCATTAACTAAGCTGTTTCTTTAAATTTTATTGCTTACAGAGTTTCAGTTCAGGCTATCATGTTAAAACCCCCATGCATTATATGCCTGGAGATGCTCTGAGACTGCATGCCTAAGAAGCAAGGCATGAAATGTCATCATCTGTATGTATACGTTTCTCAGACTTATTGTGGATAAATAGTTTCATATAACTATCAGCAGCATAAGTAGATTAGATATTAAATTTCCCAGGTTGGTCATAGACTACCATCCCCTGATATGATTCACTGAAGAGACAATTTTGTCAGTACATGAGCTTTCTGAGCCTATGAGTTGCTCCTCACACCTGATCAGAAGTGCAGTGTTAGGTGATAAAGCAAATACAGGGCTAGGAACTGAGGGACCTCTTGTTCCAGCTTTGGCACTGATGGATTGTTGGACTTTGCACTGACTCTTCACACTTCTGCACCGCTTTTCCCCTTGTTGCGCTTACCTTTCTCTGATTTGTTTAGCCCAAAATTAGAAGTGTGGTAGTGAAACTTGGTAGCAGAGAGTTAGAAAACATGACCAATACTGAGAACGATTGGAATACCAAGCAGGCAGAATCGGAAGACCTTGAGAACTCAAGTAATAGAAATGAAATGAAATTTAAAAGTACAAAGTAGAAGGTCATGGAATGGAGAGGTAACACAAATTTATTC